CAACACCAAGCTAGATCATTAATGTACTAGAATACTCACAGAATACTCACTTTGTGTTGATGATAAACGTCGATGAAATAATCTAATACTTTTCTGTCAATATACAAGTATTAATTGTTAGGCAACCGAGGTTGAAAAACTTGAAGGTTAAGGAGGTGCGTGGTTGCTGTGTTGCGACCGAACGGACGAACATGAAACATTTTATTGAATTCTTGGATCTTAGTTGTTTTCATCAGGATCTTTATATCAAACATATGCTTGATGCTACTGATTTGAACTGGGTTAGTCATTGGGTTAAAAACAGTTTTAGGGACGAGATCTTAAAAAGTTAGGTTTGGATCAAATGTAACGCCAAAATATTTAATTACTTTTTCCGGTAGGAAGCATTTCTCATGCAGCGACAGACGGAAATCAGGGAGCTGAGAAAGCAGTTGACGACTACTGTGGAGCATAAACTTCGTCTTATCTGGTTTCAACAGAACAGGACTCACCCAAAACGCCAGTAACGAATTCATACGAGAATACCATTAACATAAGAGTTTGCACCATTCACAAGAAAATGTAAACTTCGATGTTGTCAACTTAAAGCTTCCAGAAAAACAATGCCTGAAAGTTGATGGTAGATCGTTCACGTTTGATACCGAATAAGGCAGGGGCTAAGACAATTCCTTATTTATACTGAGGACATAGTTATTTGTAATTATACGATTGTGATTGCTCTGCAATTTTTTTTTGCTCATAGAGAAAGCATAACTACGTATCCTCATTTCCTTGAAAGTGACTTTTAATAACATGTTTCAAACCTAATTTCACAAGATCAAATAAAACCTTTCGTGTCGATTCTGGTTTACGCCAGTTTCACCACATGCCGAGTTCGTGACGTTCAAGTTCGCTACAAGTTTCGCTGCATATAAGTCGAGTTCGTTTCCTCAGCTAACCAACTTCTCTACCACACAAAACATTACGAATTAAAACGAAGACTATTTCAATGCTTTATGTACTGGCGGGTTGAATATACTGTCACTTACGCCCAGGCAAGATATATCCTCTAGATCATAAGCTATGTCAGTCGAGCTTCTTTCAATTAACTGATACTCTTCTAAACTTAGGCGTGAACTTAAAGGACAAACAGGATTTACATGAATATGAATTTTGCCAATGAAAGTTTGAAACTCCAGGCATATACTTATGAACTTAAATCCCTGTTGTTCCCTGACGGACTAATGTTTTCCATTTGTAAAGAAAAAGAGTACAACTTTCAAAAGCACCAAAATATCGCATTACTTTACCTTAACTTAAGAAAAAAGATTACTCAAAAATGCTCAATTTTTTAATCGAGCTCTACAGGAACGCTCGAGTCGAAAAATGCAAACCGTCGTCTTTTCTCTCTTTTGGTCGCCAAATCTATACCATGGTCCCAGCCATTCCTAGCGGAGATGCTAGAATCTGGGGATGAGAATCGCGAGCCTCCCTCAATAGGTTTGCCTCTGTCCCTGATATCACACTATTTTTTTCTGCTCAAATATCTGGGGGGTGGTACAAAGGCCGAAATTTTTGCCTGATTACATGGAGTTATCAACATAATTAAAAATGACATCTGTCGCCACAGGATAAAATGATATGGCTGGTTTTTCCCTCTTTTAGCTCCATCCTTGATGAAATCTTTTATTATACCTTGATCACGTTTGCATGATAGATGTGTTAGCCTGCCCTGGCTTGTGGCTCGGTCTGTCGGGTAGGGTAACCATATCAGCCAAGGTCGCAATGTGCCATGCAAACGTCTCAAGGAGGGTAACCCGCCTAGCCAGGGTCGCGTTCATGTTACATTTACAAGCGCCAACAACCTCACCCAGGTATCCTGGGGTTGTAAAAATTGTTCGTAAACGCAAGCTATTTTTCGAGCACGGCTAGGCCTACCTGGAGTACCCCACCTTCATGCAAACAAGCCCTTAAAAGGAAGACGATGTGACTCCTTGAATGACGTGACGCGCCAGACAACTGGTAACTGCGTGACTTTGATCTTCACTCCCGGGTTTTGGCATGAGAGTAGTTCTTGCCACGCATTTGTGGCCTGAAGGAGAAAGAAATCTGGGAAATTTTGGTGTACTTCTCCCTAACTGGAATGTAAGGTACCATAATGATTCGATTTAGCACCCTCTTTCCAATAGGCACTCCCTCTCTAAGAGAGCCCCCTTCGAATCTGTTTTGCCAATAAGCGCCCCTTTTCTAATAAGCGCCCGTATTGAGTAAGCACCCTTATTCCAATAAGCGCCCCTATTCTGTTTCGTTAACTGCACTGCTCGAGTGCTTGTACGCGGAGATCAACCGTGGTCCATCTTCCTTTAATTGCTCACGTGAAGCCTCACGACAAAAAAGTGGTCTTCGTCTCAGTTTCTCAACTATTATGTCGCTGTTAGTGCTCAGTTTCTTAAAACGAAAGATCCTGTCTTTTGCAACAATTGCTCGGCAAGTCGTTCTAGCAAGGAAGGGCCCACGGACAATAAGTGGGTTTTCCAGTCTTTTTGATCCCCAGTCCAATAAGCATCAAAGCTTTGTTTCACATTCTGCTGATTCTCAAAAAAGAGATAAGCACCTTGTCCCCTTAAGGAGAGCGCCCTGTTTCGAATAAGCGCCCTCCCTTCAACTACTAAAAGTAAAGAAGCGCCCGTGGTCTGAATCATTACGGTTGTGCAAAAGCTAACTCTTATGATAAATTGTTGAATGGGAGAAGGATGATGAACTTTTTTTCATGCAATAGGAAGCTCATCACTCAAGGAGAAACCACCTCTCATTAACGATGCAGTAACAGCGTCGAAATTCGTGAAAAGTATGCCAGGAATCTGGTATTAGGACCCTACTCAGACCTTTGGCGGGCTTAGCCGCTCACACAACAGTGTGAATAAGACCTTGCTCGCAGGCCAAGGTTCGAAACGAGCGCCTCTCAAAATCGTCGACACTCGTTGGTAAAGTTCTGTACTTAAAAATTTTTGATGTAACCACCGGCGCTCTTCTTGGTCCAGATCAGGACGATGAAATTTGTATCAGAGAACCAACAATTATAAAAGGTTGTATTTGATTATAAGCGAACCATAGTACGCTCCAGAAAGCTACGTTTTCAAGGCCAGGTTAGCCATGACTTCCGATGCCACACCTATTTTCTTTAGATTGAAAAGCCGCGGGCTCATTCACTCAGGTTTCAATCTCAGCATGAGAATCAGCATAAAACTTTCAAAACAGTCAGTGTTTTGACGGGGGTTGGGGGAGGAGAAGGGAGGGCGAAGGGAAAAATATCTTTTGCACAACAAAGTTTTATTCTTAAACTCGTCGAAAACTAGCCGCAAACTGTTGTATTTTGATCTCAAAAGTAAATTCATTACTTGCGCATACGTTGTTTTGCTCTGTATACTCTTTTTGGAAAGCATATCAGTCAGTTTCACGAAGTTCGTCGCTGTGTCCTGATCGAGTAAAAGTGACTGAGACAACTGACTAAGTTTACCGATTCAATGACGAAACCTGACGAGAGTTTAGCAATCGTGAACGACTACTCCCAAAAACCGAACGAAAATTGGTTCTTTTCTGTCTCGGCAAAAGCGGTAAAATTTCTCTTAGAGGAAAATCGCTGTACGCGTGTCCTCGCTATTTGTCCCGAAGCGGGTGCCGTCCCCCGGCCAAAAGTTAGGCTAATGTCGAAGTAAATCTGTATACTCACTTAATCTCCGTCTCGGCAAAAGCGGAGCGCGTCTTCGCTTTTTGTCTTTAAGCGTCTGTATGAAATGACAATTTTTCCCAGGTTACCTGAATAATCCTGAAGCTACCGGCCAAATGGTAGATACGGACAGATGGGAGCACAAAGGTGATACAAAACATTATGACGAAAATGGGCATTTCTTTATCGTGGACAGGTTGAAAGAACTTGTCAAGTACAACGCATTTCAGATAAGGTTTTTAATCCTAGTCCATCTTGTGAACTTTTTGCCATCTTGCGACCTCGCTTTAGTTCTAACACCCTAAAGTGGAGAGGAGTATGTGTCTGAGAAGGAACCAAAAATTCTTTTTGTTTTTTCGCGTGAAGTTTTAGATGAGGAACGCCTGAGTATGAGTAGAATTTTGGTTCGTAGAAATTGCGGAGTGCCGCTCGTTTTCAGCTAAAACAAAGAAGAAAATTTAGATTTTAAATATAATTATATTGTTCACTTGATCATCAAACTAAAATATCTCTAAAATTGTACGATGAACAGTGAAGTCGTCAATTAACTGTCTTTGTCTCCTTCACACAGGCATTTAGATGAGAAACATTCTCTTTCCATATCGAAGCAAACTTATTTGAATAGGGAATTCAACAGACTTGGTATGTCGACTTTGCAGGGGACATTTTCTTCGATGAGAATTTCAGACCAAGACGCGTTAAAACTTTCACCATTCAGCGTTTCATTCGTAATTTCCATACATTTCTCCGTATTTCCTGGGTATATTTATATACGTCAACATACTCGAAAGGTGATTCGCCTGTGGCCCGCCACGGTATTACTTTGAAGCGATATCTGACATGGAACCCAGACGTTTTTCCTGGCCAAAGCTTGCAAAAAACATCCCCACCGTCTCTTTATTTAAAATGATTCTTCATCCTGTCAGCGTCTTTTTACGAAATTACTTTTTTCTACTAACAGCCTCCGGCCAAAAGTTATTTCGTGAAAAGACGCTTCAAACGGCCCATGGACGCTTTAAAATATCACAGATACGTCGATTAACATTCCATTTAACTTCATTGATATTCAGACCGAGATGCAATTTAGGCAGGCAATTTTCAGAGCTTATTCATTACCCTCGTAGATTTTGTTTGTCTCATGTCAACAATTATTAACCACGAATACATAGTGTGGTATGCCTGTGTTCGGACGCTTTACCAATGAGCTATGGGAGATTCGTGGCAGGCTATAGTGGACCTCAATGGGAAAAGGTAGTAAATTGTAGTACCCAGAGTAACATTCCTCACAACAAAGATGATTGTGAAGAGTCCGTGGATACTGTGGGGAAACATTTTACTACTTCTTCTGCTATGTTCGGGTATGTAGACACAGTGAAATAATGTTGTTTTGCAACCTAAGACTAATATTCAAACGTTACTGTACAGGAATCAGCTCCAGAAAGACTAAAAATCAGAGTGCATCTAGAATTAATCTAGACGTACACATACTCAGAAAGCGGCAGTGTTACCGGCAAACCGCGGTCAAATTTATGTTTTACAAATCTTTCTTCTTCTCTGTTTCTTTGAAACAAATATGTTTAAATTCGGGAACCATTCAGCACCATATTCATTGAGACGATTCATCAGTCTCTTTAGCCTATCTTACCACTTTTTAGGCAAACGCAGGCAACTTTTTTATACCGTCGATGTCATCTGATTCTGCTAAATTATATCTTTGCCAAACGGTTTACGACAATACGACCGTGAATAACTGTTAAGTTAATTTCTATGTGCTTAGCCATAGTTCGGGGGAGCTCGAAGGAGCTCGGAGCAGCTCGAAGGAGTTGTATCTTGCTTTATATGCGAACGAATGAGTTTACTTCTTCTTTATTTTAAGTATTCGGCAGGAATTCATTCCTTTTAGTCTGTAAGTTCGAATATAAACTCACCCTCTTATTGTTTGGGAATTATACTCACAAAGGCAATATATGAATGAATTGGCATTGTTACATGACTTAGATGGAGTCTTTCAGGCTTTATTCTCACTTCTGCGCATGCTTGAGCAAAGTTCAGTACTGCAATAATCACTCTCATGCATCTTCACGACTTAGAGTGAAACTGTTTTCTGCCTCGGAGAGTTAGAACGCATCAAATGAAAAAAATACTATTGCCTTGAATGACTGTATGTTTACTTATGCACAGGTGTATTGTCAAGAGTGTTGGAAAAAAGAGCTTCAGGTAAGAAAAGCCTTCGGTGATATAAATACTGCAAACGTTCTGTACTTTGCCAAAAAGGCCGAACAGTCGAACAGTCGAACTGGCTCTGGTGCAATGTGTCATCGGGGCCAAAATTAGACCTCAGAAGCATCAGAGGAGAAGTGAAAAAAAAAAAAGAATTGGGGACCCGTTAAAAGGAAATTCGTCACGGTTTGTCTACCTTGAAGACTTCAAACTTAATTTTTCATGTTTAGTAATTTACATTATCGTGTCCCTCTTTAGTGTTTCTCTTCTTTGAGGTGCACGATTATTTACTGAAGATTTATTGCTGGGATAATAAAAGTTCTTCAAAATTACGTGACGTATCTCTTTACATATGTGGACATATGATTAAAACCGCATTATTTACCGTCATCAAAGATAAAGGCGGCCTCATTGTTAATCTCAAACACAATCATTGACTTTCAAAGAATTTCTTTACATCGCCTTCCGGTGGCCAAGTCCTCTTCACCAAAGTCGAGAAAATGTATCTTATTTAGCTATTCCTTACATTCCGCCGTTAAAAAAAAAATCACTAAACTCAGCTGGATGTCTTATTTTACACCTTGGTCTAACTTCTGGCGGAAGAATTCTCTTATTCACTCTGCCTTATTTCTTTTCCAGATTTTTGTCAAAGCCATGCAGCTGGGGTGTACGCTGATCCTAATAACTGCTTTGGTTACATAATATGTGACATGGCTGGTAACACACATGAAATGTCATGTCCTGCGGGACTTAAGTTCAATCCTGCTATACTTGTCTGTGATTGGCCGAACAATGTCGAGTGCGAGGATGCTGGAAGTGGAGAGCCTGCAGGCTAGAGAAACCGAGTAGGATCCGGTCTCCCTCATCATTGGCCAATGAAGACGTAATATTTCAATACTTAGATTACGTGTAGTAGAAACATTATATCCCCAAATAAAACATTGTGACAATATGATTTCTTAAGTGCAAAAATTTTCTTCCAGTTTGCTGAGAGTTAGACAAGCCTTGACCATGATATGATAATGCGGATGACTTTTTTATGAAGACCAGCGAGTATCAGAGGCTAATTGATCCTAGGTTCTAATTAATTCCCAACGTATAATTGATCGACTTGTACCTGTCCCGGCGAGCAAGCCCACAGAAAATTCTCCAATCATCAGGAAAATATTGTTATGATGCTCTTTTTTAAAAAAAGCTTGAACCTTCAGTCTAGATGGAAATATGCGATTTCCTGGACTTGAATTAATTCATCATTGATGGAGAAGATGAAACCGTACTTCATATGACTCTTTTTGAATTTGGTAACTCCCGCAAAGCAAAAACACCTTTGCTCACTTGTATACAGCCGCTCTCCATCCTCCAAAAAGAAAATGAAACGGGCTCGGCAAAAGTTAACAAGCTCAGGGATAAGAACTTAGCCTCGAGGATTTGTCCACATCATTGATATAAATCGTTCATTTGCCTCAATAATTTTACCTTTTTATAAAGTAAAAGCTCTTCTAAACGGATGCTGAAGTATCCGTCAGATGTAAGTGACAGATCATCACTACCCACGGGAGCTTTCCCGCTGAGTTAATAATAAAAAAATTAACATTTGATGTGCGTGGCAACACAACAATCACTGAAATATGAAACAGCAAGATGGCGCTGAAGAGTTGATTGATTTTATTACGATTCATGGTCTTCAAAGGTTTATTGCTATTTACCCGACTGGGAGTTCGAAAAACAGATATCATTAATTTATGAAAATACTTTATGTTGCTTTAGAAAAATCTGAGCCAATATGGCGCAACACGTTAGCCTCACCATAACTGACTTTCCTCTCTTCTAAGTCCAAATTAGTTAAACACATTTGCTGCAAAATCACTGAAAAATCTCTGAAACTTCGAAATAGCATAGCAATTATTTTAATCCATAGGCTGTTGCTAGGACAATACGTTGCTCATTTTCCTAATTCAAATATATCTAATTGCCTAAATGAGTTCTTCAAGCAGGTGGAATAATTTGATTCATCTTTCAAAACCTAATGTCAAAGTCATGCATTAAGAATCAATATATTGAACAACAGAATTACTGAACGTCCGTCGCAAACGTTTACAACATACTGAACCCTCGCTTAAAGCTACAGAACGACTGTTCAGCTCTCCTTTATAGCTGTGTTCGCCACATAATACCCGCTTGGTAAGTAACCATGAGATGCATAACTCTACCAATTATGAAATCTATTTGTTATTACTGATTTTTAAAAGCAAAGTCGGACAGCTTGTTTTGTCTTGGAACTACCTCACTTCCCATTTCCTTTATTATGAAAAACTCTGACGCATTTCAAGTAAGTTGCAATACGAAGAAAATATGTTTTTGAAATCGTATTTTACGACCTTTCTTCGTACACTAGATTTTAAGAGATAACACCTCTACCCTAAGTTTTTATGTCACACAAATTGTAGATATTACAAACGGGTAGTATGTTGGTGCAACTTCATATCTCTCGGCAAAATTACGCATTTTCTGAATTCTTTAATAACACCTCGTTTCTGTATTAAAAAACCAAGAAGCAAAGAGCGAGTTTCCACGATATCAGTCACACTATGATTTGAATTGATTTGAGAAGAGACATTTCAAAACGAGGAAAGTTTTTACAATTGCTCATTCAAACACGTTCCACCATCAATTCATCCGAATCTTCACTTTAAGGTTGTTCCTATGTCGACTTTTTTAAATTAGTTTATATGTTCCCACTCATTTACAAATTTATCAATGAAATGTTTGTGTGACACCCTCATCATTCATACTAGGAAAAACATGCATTTATTTCAACTTAGACAATTCGCCACAAATTTTCTAAGGAATAAAAACAATTCTATTGTCACATTTGTCCCTAACCAAACAAACCGAACTGGCGTGTCGGCAATCGAGCGATAAAGCGACATCAAAAATCCCCTTACAAGACCTCAATTTTTTAAAACACGAAATGGCGGCTCTTTTATCCTGTCCTTCTGCGTGCAGTCCATTTTTTCCTTTCAATAATTTCGAGTAATAAAGAATTCAGTTCTTTCTCTCAATACCACGTTTCCAAGCAATGAAGGTCTTAGTTTAAAATCATTGAAAAGGGGAAGCCGAAAAAAGGATGAAAGTTAAGGTTCATTTTGCTACAAATCCCATCATTGTAATGTAGAATGTTAACTTCTTTCAAGAGATAATAACCTGAGTTTATGATCTCCTTCACATTTTCAGTAAAAATAAGTTACTTAATATGCTGTGTAAATTTGTCATTCATAATGTAACATACTAACCTGACCAAATTTATATTGACTCATGCTTGTTTACCCGGGTTCATATTAAAACATATACTTATTGCAGAAATGAAAGGCGACACATGACGACTACTTTTCTTACCAACGTCGTGTTACTATGATAAAAATTTCCGGAATTTCTTTTTCGTTCCGCTCAACGAATTCCCAGTTAAGTGCCTTTAAACTGATGTTATAACTTCATACCTATTTGATGTCAATTTTAAAGTATGGGTAAGGCACAGATAGGTGAAATTTAGCTAAAGAACGTCCAACGCAAAGGGGAAGGCACTGGAGACTCCTTGTCCTTTACGGTCTTCTTTAATCCCTTCATACCTGTTTGATGTCAATCTATTGTTAAGGCGCAAATAGGTCTATCGAGAGAGCGTTTAATTTGTCCCTTTATATCTCTGTTCTCTGCCACAGGTCTGTTTAATATAGATTCAACTCTTTTCTTTAATCACTATGTGGTAGACTCTGAATCTCATCACTTCTATCTAACTCTAACTCTGATTCTAACGAAGCACTAACTTGCAAACCAACTGACCGTATCGGAATCCTGACCTACTTTCAAGAGAATTGTACGAATGAAAAACAGCTTACCTGACGTTTCTGATCAAACGAACAATCTTTGACAACGAAAGCCCGAAAAAGGAACTCTAGCACACTTTTAGACCCCGAGAAAACATACATACAAAGCCCTAATTTCAGACGAAACATAAATGTAGGTTAGCATTTCAAATTTATCACTGAGGTGAAAGTTTATTTGCCATAGGCTTAGAGTTAGGCAATGAATGCTTGTGTCCATTGCAGCAAGATATCTTAGTTGATTGTGCAATAAAATGAATGCAACTTTACTTGTATGACTTTATGCGTGGAAAAGCCGGCGAAATTCATCTCAGCAAACTCCATTGCTATCTATTACAATCTAATCCATCCCAGATCCACTCTCATTCACCATATGAAATTCTAGCTAGCCCTTTTCTGACCCTCTACAATCCAACCTAATCTACTAGTTTTAATTTCAAAGTACTACAATCAAATTCGTCAAAACAATTTATTCCAAATCAGTCTAATCCACTAGAAAGGGGTAAGTTTCTAAGAAAATGTGGTGCTGCGTCATTGGGATAGTGAAACAGGGTAATTTCAAGTGAAATAGAGTTCATTTGCTTGGATCATAGTGGATAAGGTAATTTAGTATTATCAACTGAGTTGATGACGCAAATTGGCCACCGGAAAGAGTTTCAAACTTAGCCCTTTGTCATACGCTCTGACGAAGGGCTAACGCTTGAAACGTCAGCTTTGGAACTCTTGAGTTTATGAATAATATTATTCGGCGAATTTGAAATGTAGCAAAAGTGGCTGTTACCTCAATTTCCCTCTTGCACGAAAGCTTAGAAAACGAAGGATTGGTTTTTAACCTACGTTCCTGAGGTTTTACAACATATCTTACATGATCTCTGCAAAATCCCCGATTTTTACGTACAACTTGACTGGTAATCGATTTCAGAATACAATGAAATAAAGGATTGTGCAAAACAACAAGGGGATCGAGGAACGAGCCGAGTGGGATGTTATCTATCTTTTCTGAAGAGTAGATAAATTAGAACCCCGCTAATTTGAACAAAATACGATTTCCCCCTGAGTTCGACCCCATTTTCCAGTCATTTACTATCAGCTAACTCGAACACGACTAACTCAAACTCCCTGTTAACTCGAGCTAGTTTTACTTTCCTTTGGCTAAATTTACTTTAATAACTCCAACTTTAGGGAAAATCGTCGATAGATAAACATCAAAGTGTCACAACATAGCTCCAATCTTTAGTCGGGTTGAATAAGAACGTAATAACATTCATGTAAAACCTAATGGCGGACATATAATAACGTATTTAGCCAAATTTCCCAGACTAGACGTTCTTATCAAAAAGTCACTATAAAAAAAATTGCCAGATGAAAGAATATGAGTGTTGATCGTACAAGAACAATGTAGGGAAAATTTGGAATGAAGAAGATGAATTACTCCAAAAGCCATCTTCATTTTCTATTCAGCTAAACGGCAGCATGAACTTACACTGATAATTTAATATCTGAGTCAAAACGGAATTTTTTATTGTTTATCTGACCTCGTAACCTAAATATTGTCCAATTCTCGACCTAACAGAAAATTTAGAAACTACGTAAAATCGCCGCCTTTTTTCAAATTCAGTTATCATTGTTTGCTTTACTGACTGAATGTTTTTCAAAACGCTTTTGTCTCTTAAAATCATTTCAATTTTGAGAATATTCACAGCCCATTTGGACATTCTAAACCTACTTCAGAACCTAGCAGAAGGTTCGCACTCATTTCTTGACTTATCTGGTGGTAACAGGTACCTGTTGATCTTAGAACCCGGTGAGTGACCTTTTAAAATTATTGACGAAAATGTATGGAAATCCGGTTCGGCTATATCCTCAAAATTTCTCACAACGATAGAAGCAACCCCTTATCCCCTTTAACGTGGTTTAAACTGCAGTGTTGGGATTTAGTTTTTACTTGAATCAATCAA